AAATAAAAATCTTGGACTGAAATACCAGTATTGAGATGTGTATTAAGAATTGCTGTTTGAAATAACTAGACTACTTTTTTTTTTTTTAATGCTTCAAACAGTTCAATTTTTTACAGAATTGATTCACTAGGTAGGATAGCAAGTTAAGAATGCTTTTTTAGTTTAAGCAGATTTCTTCAGTATTCTTTGGGAAAAGGATATCCTTTTCTCTTTGCCTTAGAACTTGCACATTATTGCTGGAAATGACCATAAATATCTGCATGCACACTATATGTGATTAATAAGCTCCAGGCATGGCATTTACGCAGGTTGACAATGCTGAATTTTTCTTTCCATTCCCATGTTACAGAGCAGCAGATTTTCAGTTTTCTCTTAAATTCTTCAGTCATGCTACTTCAGCCTCAGGGGAACAAGATGTCAAAGCCTATCTCTATTCTAGTGGAGCAAAGGCATGAGGTGTTTCAGCTGAAGTGACTGGGAACCAATTCTACTTCAATCAAAGTCGGATGATAGTAAAGGTTAGGGCTTTGCTCTTAGCGCACCTGCTAACATGTGGTGTCATTAACTTATTTTATTGCAACTTGAGCTAGTGAAAGCTGTGGAGTCAGTTACATGGATAAAGCTATGCTGTTCATAACCACTTGTATAAGTTCAGCTGTCTGGTGACAGTTTTTCATGGTAGTCAAAGGCAAGTAGTAAATTCAAAGTACTTTATGCTTGTCACTAGCAGAAATACGATGGCAAAATATAAGTCAAAGTGTTCTTTGGTTCTTTTTGTTGTGAAAATCAAACAATTGAAAGATTAGATGAAGAGACTTACCCTATCAACACTGTGTGTAATACTCAGCCCTGTGCATAATTTAAATCGCAGCGTATGCCAGGAATACCAGAGTATACAGAGAACACAGAAATTCAGTTCAAATAGTATTCTAGCAGTCCTAGTGGGGTTTTCAAAAGAAGTAATACCTGCTGTAAGTTAACACTGTCTGTGCTGTTGAATTCAAGAGACAGACACCAACATCTTCATTATTGAGCATTATTCTCTACTTACAATTATTGCTTAAGGCTGCTGCAGAGATGGATGCTTCTCTAGATCAAATGTATAATTTTCTATAGCCACAATAAAGAAAGACTTTTTTTTTAAATTAAAAACCTTCACATGTCCAACACGTCCATATCACTACATTATTCATAAGATCAACTTTTAATGTGTCATGTTCAGCTATTTAATATAAAACATATTAGGAAACACTCCACCATAAATGCTTGTGGTATGTTATTTTCCTATATGGAAAATAGGTTGCACATAGCAGTCTTATGTACACACATATGTTCTCCGGAGCTCATAAATAGTAGGAGGAAGACAAGATAATAAGATGGTGCGTGTGCTTTTAATATAATTATTTGCTTTATTTAGGCCAAGGTTGAAAAATGTGGATCGAAGTAGCGCTCAGCATTTGGAAGTTACCGTTGGAGATCTGACAGTCATAATTACAGACTTTAAGGAGAAAACTAAGTCACCACCTGCTTCCAGTGCTGCTTCTGCAGATCAACACAGTCAGAGTGGTTCTAGCTCTGACAACACAGAGAGGGGAATGTCCAGGTCGTCTTCACCCAGAGGAGAAGCGTCATCACTGAATGGGGAATCTCATTAAAGTTTATTTCCTCCAGTTTCTTTAGTCTCTCCTCTTCAAAACATGCAAATACAGAACTTCTGTCACCTGTTACCACATTTTCATGACAGATTATTTATGCACAATTGGTATGTTGACTGGAACATAATTTATGCAGTTTCAAAAAAAAAAAAAAAAAGAAGAAAGTGCAGTGGTAGAAACAATAATTTAAATGCACTCTACAAATGCTTACAAAGCATTTTCAGACCAACTTTTTAATCTTCATGTGTAAAGGTGCCATGAAAATGTGGTTTGAATGTTCATTATGCAGTGTTATTGGTAAGTCCATGTTCACTTTTAGTTTAGTGAATTCTAACACAACTCTTGGAGTCTCTACTATTGGCATGTACTGAATTTAAATTTTTATAACATAGTTCAAGCTGCCTAAATATGTATTATTTGAGAATTGTGAAACATAGTTATATGTATGCAAGTCAAAGATCAACTTAATCAACTATTGCTGCAACAGAATTTTCATAATAATTATCTTAAAAACACCTGCTGGTACTTGGTGTGGTTAAATAGGAAAAATGTTATTAAATAAAACATTTGTATGAATTTTTGCCAATGTTTGACACATTTTACTAGATTACTGTTACTGAATTATGTTGAAGGTTTTACCAATATTTTTTCACACTTAAAACACTTATTGTAATGTTTACAAGCAAAATAGAAAGCACGTTCTAAGCATTGATTGGTTAACCTTACAATTCAGGTGAAGTACTACGTTGTCACTGTACACTGGTATTCTATGTTTTTAACAAATATTGAACCTGAGATGATGATGCATTTGGCAGAAACTAACATTTGGAAATATGAAAGTTTGGAAAAGCTTTAAAAATAACAGAAGTGCAGTTCTCATTTCTGTTTAGTGCTGTTTCCTTGCCCCAAATTTATCTAGTGTCATATAGTCACTTCATTTCGTTACTGGAATATCAGGTGTTGCACAAGAATAAGGAAATAACAATACGATTATTTTTTTTGTTCCTGAATCAACTTCTTAAATATTGATTTGGCCTATTAGAATATATTATGTCATAAATCATATGAAAAAACTCAGTACCCTACTTTATGGCATAAACTGTCAACATTTACGCACTTAGCAATATACTGATATGGAGCAGAACTATTTACAATCCCATCTGGTATTATGTAAAATTAACAATAAAATATTTTTGTGACTACAGATTTTGCATTTTTGTTTACAACCAATAAGTGTTTTGATACACACGTACAGTCTATGTATAGATTTTAAATTATAGATTCGGGTTCAGTACAAAAGTCCATTTAGCTCGTTTTAGTGAGGTAGTCCACTTACACTCCTGTGAGTCTTTTCTTTTTCATTCAAAGTAAATATATTTTTAAGCCCATGTAACAGTTGGATGGACCTTCTTGGTAGTGAATCCAGCCCCAAATTATTACCAACGTATATGTCTTCTTAACAGCTAAAACAATGGATTTTTGTAGCCCCTAACAATTGTGATGTTTGGTGGTTTCTTGTAGTAATGTATTTTTCTGTTTTAAATGCAGTACTTCTACAGGCACAATGGTACTGTTCTATTTTGTAAGATGCTAGTTGTGAAATACAGTTAGTTGCATAAAATGAAAGTCTGATGTGATATCTGAGAACATACATACCTCATTCCTTGGTGTTGCTGTTGAAACTTTTTAGACATCAAATGTTAATTATAGGCTATTTCAGATGGATAACTACTGACCTGTTTATTATGTATTCTGCTTTATCTTACTAAATAGGATGTCTGTTCATTGCCGTTACCTGGCCAAATCTTAATATCTGTAAAAACAATGCATTTTAAGGTTCTTACATGTTTTTTGGGGCTGGGCTGGTGTTCAGAATAACGTACACTAGTTTTTAAAAGAAAAATACATGCTTCTCAACTTTATTTTTTTATATTTTGTTTTTAGGTGGGACTATTTGCAGAATATACTGATTTAATGGATTACAAGAGAGCTCAAACTCTTTAAAGTAAGCAGTTTAATGATAGCAAATCTCATTGCAAGATGTTTTATGAAATGTGTTTCTAATTTAAAGTGTAATGAATGCTAACACATTTCAGAATTCCTTGCAAACAAATAATAATCTATTACCAGTAGTTCACTAAATGGGAAACGTATTTTCATTTAACTTTATGTGAATAAACCACCCAGCATTGACATACAAAGAGGTCTCTTTGTATCTTCGGAAATAAGTAGCCATTTGGTTTGGAAGGAAGGGAGGATGGAGTGGATTTTACTATGATTCAACTGTCTCTAGAGAATAATCTCAAAAGTGTGGCACAGCTATGGTTATAATCAAAAAGAATGCAGAAAAGTCTCACTGCTCTTTATGGAATGAGACATAGAAAAGCAATCTCTAACTACAGATACAACACAAGTCAGCTAGGATCTAAAAACTGAGCTGTGGTGGTTTTAGCCGAACTATTATGTTGCCAGTGTTTACATTGCAATGATGCCTGTTGGCATTAAATGAAGTTCAGATAATTTTGGCTGTTTGTGGTTAAAGGGATGTGATAATACAGACAGCAGAGTAGACAAATTCTGAGTAGAATATGGCATTTGACTCTGTTCATAATGTTATAATTTCTAAGTAATTTTGACTTGTAGTAATCCTTTTTCTAACTGTAAATATATTTAAAAGCATCTTTACTCCATTTATAAAAAGTGAAAATTTAATGTTGTAATGTGTTTTGATTAGCTATTTTTCTCTGTGACTGCTCTCTGCATAAGAACTGTTATTTGTTAAATCTATATATGCACCAGTCTTCAACAGCCATACATCCTGGGTCGTTCATGAAATGGTGACCCAACAAAAACAAGTGTGATAGTGTTCCATGTAAATGAGTTCCTTAATGTGCTGATTGATTGTCCGGTTTCGGAAAGGCGAAGGGGGGAGAAATGGGGGAAAATGAAGTACAAATAGTTCATTGATAAAGTGTATAGTAATTCAGTCTCTTACCTTCCTAACTTCGCCACTAATATGGTGGTATACGGAAAAGAACAAATACACAGTTGTAGACTATGATCCTTTTTTTTCCCCCTGAATTTAAGTCTACATATTGGAGATAAAAACAAAAGTTGTTCTACTTTGTAGCAAGTTAAATTATGCCATATAAAAACCTTGATTCTAACAGAAGTGGTAATAAAAAAAATAATTACATTAAAAAATTTTAAATTCTTGGTATTAAAAGTCTTGAGATTAAGACTATGACTGAAGTTTTAACCCATTACGTGTTTCTCTAGGTATTTGATGTTTTGAGGCGTAGATTGCAAAATCTCAAAAATTATTTGTTTATATAATTTGTGCACTTTTTAAATATTATGGATAGCACATTTTTAAATAGCTATGTAAGATAGAATACTTTCTATAATTTGTTTCCACCAGTTCACTGTAGTGTTCAGGCAGGTCTTCTAAACTTGACACAAGTGTACGGTGTGGCTCTGCATCTTAGATTCTTTAATTTTTCTCTCCTTTCAAAAGCCTGACAGTTTCCCACATTAGGCTGATTGATTATACTTTTGTTATACAGGATGGATTTGGCATGGAACTGTCTATTGTGTACTTCCTGTGTACATCCAAGGTTCTTTAACTGCTTCTGCTTGTTTTTTTCTGTCACATGCCTTTATTTGACTCTGCTCCCTACTAGGGAGTCTGGGTAATTCTTCCTTTCAAATATCAGAAACTATATGGAAATAGAATGCAATTTAATTTAATTTCTTCAAAGGCAGGAGCAAGTGCTATACTTGCAGTAAATTTGGCCTGTGCTTACTCAGGAATAAGATAGGTAAGATAAAAAGTTAATGCTGGTTTTGGCCAGTGGACCAGTCAAATATGATATTTTGCAGATGGGTACTTCTATCTTAATGTTAAGATTTGGGTGTGCTGGAAATACAGTTTGAGCTTTTGGAGGTTTTTCTTACACAAAATTATGCCCTGACTTATGTCAAAGCAGTCTCAATTTGAAAGGGTGTAATTCACAAACTAGAGAAGCTATACAGTAAAATCAGTCAAACTGAGGAAGCTCAGTTGGTTTTCTTCTGTACTGTCAAAGTTTTAACAAGAGGAGAAACTGTTAAAAGAGGCTTAAGAGATTTGTCTAAGACAGCAATCAGATATTGAGCTTATTTTGACTTCTAAGGGAGAACCTATGTTTTAATAAGAATTAACAGGATTTAACTACTAAATTAAAATTGGAAAAGTACTTCAAGTTAATTACAAATTAATGCTTTACAGAAATTATTCTAACTTCTTGTCTAGAGTGGAGTAAATGGCACGACAGCAATGGATAGCTACACACCTGCTAGTAAATGGTATTAACCAACAGCAAGTGATGTTTAAGTGGCTTTCCTAAGACATTACTCCAGGAGATTGTGACATGACTATGAACAAGGCCTAGGAGTTCAGGTGTCCCCCTCTCTGCCTAAGCTATACCATTGGGTTCAAAAGGCAGCAAACAAATAAATTAGTTTCAGGTCCTAGAGTCTTAGTTATGCCGGAGCTGTTTACAGCTTCTGTTTAACTGTATTGGTGAAAATTAAAGTGAACCACTACTGTATAATACTTAATCCCTCAGATGTTTTCGATGCTAATCTTGCCCCTTTTATTATGGGAAACAGATAAAAGTCGTCTGAAAGAACTTGCTCTGTCCACTGACACAGGGGATTTTAAGAGCGGACAGTTTAATGGGCACAGGAAGTTTTAGCTGTACTTTAAAGGAGTTAAACGTGGAGTATGAAGGGCAAAATCATGTTCCATAGCTCAAATAAGTATTACTAAGAATGATCACGAGAGATTGCTGTACCATGTGAGGTTTGTAAAAGACAAAATGGTACCATTACCTAATCACTCCATGTCCCATATGCTTAAAAAGAAAATTACCACCAGAAAAAATACTGTTCTGGTAACAGTACTTTAAAGAATAGTTCCAAAATGTTAGTTGCTTTGTGGAAAGTATGGTGTATCTTGGCAGAGGTAGGAATATCTGAGCAAGAAGCCCTTCAGGACTACATTTGGAAAAGTGTAATCTTTAATTACTCTGTTCTCTGTGTATAAATATTGATCTTGGTCAAAGTGCTTGCAAAGTGAACAAGCTCCCTTAAAATTTAAGTTTTTAAGAAATGTGGCTTTAGACCAGTGGAGCTCTAATTTCCAATGGAATTATTGAGAAGATAACTGAGGAAAAGAGAGTATTAATCTATTTTATGATAACCTCCTAACTATGTACTTGTAATTTTCCTCTTCTGCATGAAGGAGCAAAAGTATACATAAGAAGGAAATATATGTAACCAGGGCTCATGGAATTTGGCTCTTTACTACCTTCCCAAGCTTGCTAGATTCTACAAACTACAAGTTCTCTTTGATTCAAAGGCAGTTGCAGGTAATTTGTCAGTAGAAAAGGATCATTTAGCATCGTTAAGTTAGTTAAGACGAGTGGTCAGGCTGATTCTACTTTCTGAATACCCACTTTGGGAATACAGAGATCTAATTTTCTGTTTATGCATCTAATATATAACTACCATCTATGAATAATCTTTCAAGTTGATCCTTCTTTGCACAGAATAAATCAAAATGCTTCAATGCCAAGCCCAGTTCCTGACAGTACAGATCTCTGAGCAAGAAAATCTGCCATCTGACTGATCATCTCTTACTGCAACAGCCTTCAGCTATGAATTTAATCTCAGCAAGGGAAATCTCTTAAGGTTACCTGTATTTATTATCTTTGCTTCCATCTCTGAAGGAAACATTCTGATTCCTTCTTCTCTCTTTTTTAAAAGTACATCTATAGTATAAGTGGATGCAGTGAGTTTGAAGTAATTTGTTATGGCAGCTTTTGTAAGCAGGGAGTTTGACTGCTGTTCCCAGTTCTTCAGCTATGTCTTGGTTTCTGTGAGACCAACAGTGGTATGTAGCGCTTAGAGGTCATTATCAATTTTGTCACCGTTGTCCTTGTTTCTGTATAATTGACTTACTGAACAGATTCTTGCTGAGCAAACTTACTTACATTGATCCTGTAGCATTCTGGCTGAGGTAGCTGGCATTCTGGGATGCCAATTTACTGGTCTTTGTATCTGCATTTCTGCAAATGGTCTGATTCTGTTGCTGGGAGGCTTCCAGACGTGGAAAAATAAGCAAAATGCTTTCCAACTGATGGAGGCGTAATGTTGCCAAGTAACTTGCAGTACCTGGAGGGTTTTTGAAAGGCACAAGAAAACGCTCTCTGTGCCAGCTGGAGAAGGAGATGTGAGGAGCATGCACAGATACTGAGCTCTTTCTCAGCTTTCCTACGGAAATTCCAAGTAGGCAGCTTCTGTTTCTAAAGTGTCAAACACCTTCAGAAACCCTCAGTCCAACAAAGAGACAGAGGATAGAGGCAGGGCGAGAAAAAGGAAATGTATTTTCAGAATAATACCTAGAAAAGCCACTATATAATGGCTTCTTTGTGTGTTTAGTGTTCCTTTCTCTGTGTGCTGTATTGGAAGTAGGCAGCGTCCCACGCTTCTTATAGGTGTGTGTTGCTTTATAATTCTTGATGCCTGTTGGTTCAGTGACTTTTGACCTAAAGATAGATGTAGGTTTTTGTGAGTTTAATAGTAAATACCATGAACGCTTCACTCTTGGATACAGGATATTCATTGAAAGGGCAGAACTTTTGATTAAAGAGCTCGTCAGGAACAAAATTAATTCTTCTTGTGCATTTAGTCATTACCCAATTTTAAAATGTCTGATTCCTGGACTACTAGAAAAAGGATAACTTTATGCTGAAAGTGTAATAAGAACCTAGACTA